GGGGGGAGCCAGCAATAGAAAGGAGCAAGGCCCACCCACGCCGAGGAACTCCAGGGGGTCATCCGCCAAGGGATCATCACTGCGATTAATCCAGCTGCTGTCATTGTCAGGATCTCACTCTCTGACAGCTGCAACTGCCTCTGCCCAGTGCTGCTTCTCCACTACAGGCAAGCAAGCACAGAGGGAGCCAGCAGCCTGGGGGGGAGTGCCAGCTCGGCGTGCTCTGCATTGAGGCAGGCCTCACGGTGAGGCTGCGGGTCGCTGGTCATGACGAAGCCTGTATTGCAGCCTAGGCACACGGTGATGGCAGTGCGGCACTGGAGTCCAGCATTGGGGAACTTTGCTCTTTAGCCATGATGAAGGTACTGCTCATTAGACTGCTGAAGAAAAAAAGGGAGCCAATCACAGCTCACATTGGCATTTATGCCACCATAGCAGACCTGTTTCAGGACAGCCCAGTGCAGGGCACAGGGCACGAAACAATCTCTTCAGGACTGTGCATGCACGAGGGATAAACAAAATAGCAACAGCTCTTAGAGGGTGAAGCCTATATGAAATATAACACCGATTTCACTCATTTTCACTCTTTACTTCTTTCTTTGACTTGTACCTTTGTTTAGTTCCTATCTGCTCTTTTATGCTGCCTTCAGCCTCTCCTTTCCTCCACCTCTCCATTCATTCTTCTCTACCTGAACAGACCTCTGACGCGCACTCTATGGTGCTGAATTCACCTTATTTATGTTACATTACCTTACTGAACTAAATTACGATGTGCACAGTAGAGGTGTAAAGGTAGAAATATTCCTACCAAACCATGCCATTACAAGCCATTAGGTGCCGTGCAGATGTGTACCAAATCTTGTTTTGTGTATGGAATAATTTTTGTAAATCTGCGTTCCCACACTAACATATTAAGTGGTGGACAGGAGCATGATAAACAAACATCATTGTCAATGCAAACAAGAAATCAGAGCTAGAAGACCCTCCTTTATCATTAAGGTCTCCTGTTTGGGAACACATCTGCTTTCTGGTGAAATACAGAAACCGGCAAACGCAAGTGGATAGGACTCTTGTTTATTGTGCTCCAGTCCGGCACTTAACATGTTCATTCAGCGGTGATCTGGTACCATGTTCAGTGGTTCTGGCTACACGTCAAACATTTAAACTCATTTAAAACAGCAACCATGTGAATGCGAATATCACTGCTGCAAAGATAAAAACGACTGTAGTACAAACGCTGCTTCCTTCATCATTTAAACAGCCTGTCAATGTCTGGAGCCCATCGTAGTAGTTTGCAGTAGTATTCAATTTTTTTATTCTGTTCTATTTGTATATATTTTGCTTCATTCAAAATCTAATTTAAAATGATAAACTGTTGATGCTTACATAAGTTCATAATAAATGACAAGCAATTTTATAACTTGTACTTTTTACCATACCAAAAATGAAACGAACCATGGTGATAACAGTGATTTCCATGCACAATTACACCCCTGTTGCACAGTGACAAATTTAGGTTGCTGGTTTGGAGATCACAAATTCAACAAACAGTATAGAACTTTCTATATACATACCAGTGTATTCAGGGAAGCAGATGGACAGTGGTGACTTGCTGATCTTGATTTCAAAGAGGTCCTCCTTGTTCAGGAACAGAATGATAGAGGTGTCCTTGAACCAGTTGTTGTTACAGATGGAATCAAAGAGCTTCAGAGACTCATGCATGCGGTTCTGTAGAAGAGACATTAGCGTGGGTTAAAATGGGCTTTAAAACACGCATGCTCAGACACCTAAATACACCCATAACAATCATTTGGACAAGCAGAAGGTATTTATGTAAATGTGTTCAGAAAGCACATGCACACTCACAAGTAGCCAAACACACACACACACACGCACACCATGTACACACAAAGAGGAACTGAAAAAATAAAAAGGACAAATCAGAAGTACTGCAACTTCTTGTCTGTAGAGTGTGTATTTGCTGATCTGTCCCTGTATAACCATATTAGTAGATATTATATTAAGCTGGCAGTTATCAACAAATTAAACAAAGCCATGTATTTTAACTTGCTAGCTGTGAGTCACTCCCTACATTAACCATAGTATGCTACCATGACTCAGTGATATTTTAAAGGTACCCTGTGGAGCAGTGTTTTCAAGAGAAGCTCTGTGTAATGACTGCAGCATGCGCATGAGGACATAACCCTCGTTTGCAGGGGTTTATGTAACATACATTTCTGATGACTGCAGAAGGCATCAACACATTATGGAGGCAATACACCAATAAAGGAAAAGGAGGAAGTGGAAACACATTCAAATAAGAAGCACTGCAAATGTTTTCCAAGGTAGGAAATTTAACTAGCTTTAATTTTTAAGGCTGGAAAAAACAGTGCTTTTTACTGATAATTTTTAAATGTAAATGTATAAAAGTTTAAACTGAAAACAAAATTAAAATGAAACCAAAATATGTCTGTGATGTAAACAGTTAATTATCATTCAAAATTGAATTTTAATGGTTACCAAAGCATAAAAACTTCAGCCAATTGCTGAAAACTATGATTAATACATTAAAGATTATAGTGAATTTAGTATTTGATTATTTTCAGCACGAGGCACTTTTCCATGTTAGTAAATCACCTACTCCTCTGGCTCCCTCTATTAGGTTGTTAGCACTGCCAGAATGCTTTGTTAGTACAAGTGCTTCATAAATCTGTCGACCTTGACTAATTTTGTGCCAAATCCACTGTTCTGTTTGCTAAAGAAATCTATAAAATTTAGCTGTTGGCATTTGCTGTTTAGTGTGCCTGAGAAAAAAAAAATCAAATCAGTATGTTGGAAAGTGTCTAGCATAGAAAACAGATTCAAGAATGAGTTGAAAGCAGTTTCTCTTTGGTTATGATTCTTTATTGCCTAGTTCACAATAGGGGATTAAAGAAAGGGTGATTGATGGAGAGCATCAACCAATCACGTTAGAGGAAAATTTAAAAGTGCTCCATTATTGTAGATTTCAGTACTGTAGGCTCACATACAAAGGAAGGACAAAAGAGATGGGCTGAAATCATTAATAATAATAATAATAATAATGATAATAGATGAATTACCAGCGATCAGACATACAGATGGATAGCATGCAATAAAACATCTGATGTACCAGAGTGAAAACAAAACTGTTCACGTACACAAAAACACACTCACACACATAGATTCATATCCTTGTTTCACAAACACAAAGAGGCACTGCTTTCAACTCTTGCTGAGTGTATCAACCTATCAGGACATTTCATACCTGTGTGGGTGGAGCTTCTGTAGAAGTTCTGACTGTTGATTGGTTAGAGAGGACAGTCGATGGCGAGAGTGACAGGAGGAGTAGAAGGAGCCAGAGATGCTGCAGGGCGGATCTTAAAGCAGGGATAGAAATGGCAAGGAAACCACCCACGTCCCACCTCCCACATACGACAACCCCTCCCCCTCCCAGCCCCAAACACACATCCCCAGTGCTGACAAGAAAATGTTTAGAGGCAGGGGGACAGGATCCAGATATTTTTCACCCAGAGCAACTGTCGGTCTGTATATGACAAGTGGGTGTTCACAGAAACAGGACAAGGAGAGGCAGAGAAGAACACAATGCAAGCGGTTCTTGAATAGAAAGAAAGGAATTAAAAAGCAAAAGTAGTATGACCTGTACTGTATGTGCGAGTGTGTGTCTGGTTCGTACAGCACACAGGTGAAAACATTTAGCATGAGGTCACTGAAGTGTTTTTTTTTTTAATTTCTGTACTGTCACAGCCTGTTCTGTCACGTATGCTGGCAACTGAAAAACGTCCTGGTACTAGAATTGACATGGTAGCTGCAGATCTTCAAAAGGGATGAATTTAAAGGCTTTTAGAAGATAGTGAAAGTTGTACAAAGTCTTAAATCATTTCTTCAACCTGCCACAGACAACGTTATACAATGTTGTACTACAATAACGGTTACTTTACAAGCCCTGGTAGCCAGGAAGCTCATTGTCTCATAATGGATAAGTGTTGATTTTAGCAAAACTTAAATGAATTAATCTTTTTTTTTTGGTTTATCTATCCATCTATTTTATGCTGTTTACATGGTTCCAGGTTGCATTAATCTAATTAATTATATCACTAGGGATTATTCTTATAAATTGTGTGATATAATAACAAATAATTTTAGGCTATATTGTCCCTACTAGCTTTCCAACATACTTGATATTTTGGCTGCTATGACTGTGAAACAACAATTTTATAGCATTGTTTGGTAATCAAGGTCTTAAAAAGTCTTAAATCTAACTTTGTGAACCCTGCAGAAGTGCTTAAATGAGTGAACAGCAAAGAATTATTTTGATGCTAAAATAGAAATGTTACCATCTTTAATCACCATAAGGACCTCAAAACATTGCCACATTTACATCTAGGCTATGGCTTTATGCAGCATAACAAAGAACAACTAAATCTCATGGAAGAGATTGTTTTACTCAAAAGGTAAAGTCTGTTGACCTCTGTCCAGACAGGATAGGTATTATGGGAAAAATACATCACTCTAATTAAATTCATGGCATATCAGTGATTCTAATGAACTGCCCTAAAGGGATATAGAGAATGTATTACTTTATCCCTCCCATTACTGAGGGAGGGTTATTTTTGTCAGATTGTGTAATATTTTTGTGCAAAGTATTTGTAATCACATGCTATGGTTGTGTCTGGTAGTAGAACTGACGGAGAATGTAGGAATTTGCTGAGAAACATTTGGTTATTTGCCTGGTAATTATAACTCCCATGTTTGCTTTTTAATAATAACACTTAATGTTGAGCAGAACACTGTCTCTGAAAGTACAAAAATACAAATAAACAGACCTGCTATTAATGTTCCTGGATTTTTGTTTGCAATTGTGATCATATAATACATTTCTTTTCTTGGTATAGCCATTTTGCCACATAATGCCATCCATGTACTTTAACTTTAACAAAGATACTGTCACAGGAAATACAGGCATATTTGTTTCCTTTACAGTGCGAATTTTCCTGTGTCACTTTTTTTTTACATCAATGCCAAATGGTGCATCTAGAAATGAACCCTTGCTCTTTCACACTTAAGGACAGAAATGATGTTTACTGTTAATGTTGCAGTTATCAGAGACATTTGTATCTGTCCTAATGACAAATACATCGCCAGTCAAAGCTTCCCAGCGACTTCAGTGGGAAAGTGTAAGACAACCCCCCCATTACAATCTAAATTAATGGACATGCTACGCAACAGAAGCTTTTTGTGATGGATATTTCCTCTCCTCATCTGATGTTCTTTGGTCATCCCAGGTCACGGGGAGGCTTGATGACATCTGTATAAATAGAGCAGCTACTCAACATAATTTCCCAGCCTGGAATTCTCAAAGGAAACTCTTGAGGCTTATAAATAGCGGTGAAGACCATGCATTCAAATCGGCTTATTTATTTTATTTTAATCAGCTTCATCTTTATAATCACATGCCAGGTTGAGGCTTTTTGTTGAGGAAACACTGAGCTACTCTTTTTTTTCTACTGTACCATTCCTAGGCCTTTACTTTAACCAAATATCATACACGTCCACATAAGTCTTCTTGAACCCATCCAGAACCCATTAAATACTCACAATTGTTAGTTTTCCAATGTTGGCAAACAATAATTTAGAAAAAAAAGGTACTGTATAAGGTTTTATTTTACCACTACTGTTCTATACTCAGCTGCATATAGAGAGTGTGAAGGTACATCATGCTGTGTTGAATGTTGGGTCGGGGGCTCAATTTTGGGAGGGAGGTGTTATATTTACCTGCAAACATTCTCATTTTGTTTGGCTAAAAAGTTGCTTAAATCATTTAGATTTCACTTTACTGTGATCATTCAGAATGGATAACCTTAGCTGACTGTAGCTAACTCGTAGCAGACCTAGAGATCCCATCGACGAGAGTGACACAGTGAAAAATGACTGTGTACCCTGATCTAAGCTCTCGATTTCGTAGCTAACGCTAGCTAACAGCTGTCAGCAGATAACACAAACACTGCAGATGAGTCAATTTCTGTCCTGTCTGTTCTCAAACTGCACACTGAAGTGGACATTTAGACGTAGGTGAAGCATCTGCTACTGTATGAAGCTGCATAGTATAGGATTTACTTTTTTAAAATTAACTTATAGATGTATGTAGTGTATATCTCTATGAAGGATAATGAGCCTGAATCCCCCAAAATGGGACATTTACCCAAAAGTCAACATGGCATGATGACAACTTCACATTCTCTATTAGTAGCTCATCTATATTATGTTTATTCTTTAGGAGTATTCAGGTCAAGGTTTTACAAAAAAGTATAGTGCATAAAGTACTCAAAAACTGCTTTCTACATCTATTGCACATCTCAGAGTCTACAGTCTGCACCAGTTGTCTTTAGAGCAACCAAGTGTACATACAATACATTACCATACACTCCCTTCCCATTATTAGAAACCATTCATTTGCTTTGTCCAAAATAAAACTTAGTTTGCAGTGTCAAAGCAGGGAACAATTCTTTGCAAAGAGACAAATAACATATAGAGCAGTCCCTTGTATGTTTTGTATAGAAACCAACTAACAGTGTCTGCCTCAGAGATGGCAGACTGCTGGAATAAGCATTTGTTAAACAAACAAGGCCAGCCAGTGTTTTGAATATCAGCTGTATTCTGTTGATTTATTTACATGTTCTGATATTAGGTTGCATATTCAGCAAGAAAAACACTTTAGGTCCTTCGAATTTTGATAATGGGGAAGTACGAAGGGAAGCCACATTGACACACCTCTGCTGGTCAATTATATAATGAGACAGATGCAAAATGAGAAAGCAGATACATCTTCTCTGAGAAGACTCTTATGTACCTGTCATGCCTACAACATTCTATAGAGTGAATAATAAAATGTAAATATAACCATTTGAAGACTTTCATGCCCTCATTTATTTAGCAGCTCATCAAAGAGTACCACATACACACACCCTTGTCTTTCAAGTACTTTCATGTCAGCTTACGTCCTCTCTCCATATGGAACAAGCACATGCTCTATATCATAGTTATATAGCATGTATCATAATCTATTACCCATCCTGTCACACATCCTGCATATATTACAATCCAACTCTAATGTTGTTTGATTTGGTTTCTTTTAAAGCTATGTTCTAATATTTATATTTGTGTCACAAGGCGACATGGGGACAGACAATGGACAGAGGAACACAGTGAGAGAAACATACAAAAGTGAGCACGTGTCCTTACCGTGGTCTCGTCCTCATGCAGCACCTGGTCATAGCCACTGAGTGCCACACAGAAGATGATGGCTGTCACATCCTCAAAACAGTGAATCCACTTCTTTCTCTCCGACCTCTGACCTCCCACATCAAACAGCCTGATGGATGGACACAGAGGCAGGCGTGCATAGACATGTGTACACACACAGACGTACATTTTTTTATGTTGCTAAAAACATGCTTTTATAGTACATCACATTTTCTAGTCAGTCAAATCAAATGTAATTAATCTCAGACTGTGGACTAGTAAACTGGGCCTGTTTCCAGATTGGTATTTACTCATTTATCTAACGATAGCATGGTAGTTTCAGATGGGACAATTCTGGCCTCTTTCCTAGTTCATAAAGTGGTTCTCTCTCTTGTGGTGATATTATGACATCTTGTCTTTAACCCCTTTTTTATTTATGCATTTTTATTTTCTCCTTTCTGTGTTCCAAAAGCTCAAACCTTGATAAGCAACATCACTGTGATGTTCATGTGGTGTTTTGTAGCGACTCAAGGAAAGTGCTCAGTGATGCATCAAATGTAAAAGAATGAGACTACTGCAATGTTCTGGCTACTGGAGTCTTTTTTTCTTATGCTCCCCTTAGTTTAGCAATGTTATCCTGTATGGGATGTTCTAATAACGAGGTCCTGGTCTGCTGTGTGTGTGTGTGTGTGTGTGTGTGTGTGTGTGTCTGCTGTAATCCTACACACAGTGTCTTTAGCACTGCATCACACAGAGAGGGAACAGTGGTAACGTTCAACCAGCCAGATAAAACACTACTGGGTGGTGTACATCAAAACTATGACCTGTAATCTTCAAGAAAGAAACTGTTAATAAACTTTGTATCTGATGCTAGATAAACCTTTCCAGAAATTGACCTCATGTTCTTCATCTATAGGTGGTAATTTCGTGGTGTTTAGAACACATTAGAAATCCCACTTCCATACAGGATGTGAGGTGTATAATGCTACTTAGGTTGATGGATTACGACCAACACAGGAACAGTGCAGCCTCCCACACACCGCTTGCCTCCGGTAATAGCAATCGAGTTGACAATATCTAGGTTTCTCCACAAAATACTGTACACCCAGCACACCGCCTACTCAACTGTACGAGCAACAGTAGAAAGCATCAGTCAGCAGAAATAATTTCTCTGCCTGTTTAAACTGGCTGTGTGCCTAAGTATCAGAACACATGTATGTGTGTGTGTGTGTGAGAGTGAGAGAGAGAGAGAACAAACATCACCTGCCAAGTGTGATGGTGCATTCATCCAGAAAAATAATTGGTGTGTACTATTTATTAACGTCTTTGCTCTGTGTGCCCAGCACTATGTTAATGTGTATGTTTCTGCACCAGAGGGGCAGACATATTAAATAAGGTCAAGAAAAGACTCCTCCCTTCTTTTGTCTTTTTCCTTTCCTTTCCTCCTACCATTCCGTAACGCATCTCCTTTCTGTCCTCATTCCCACAACTCCTTGCTGTAACTAAAGCAGATCTCATTTACAGGTCAGGCAATGATAAGTAGAGACAGTCATTCAAATGAAATGACTTTATTAATTACAGACTGGATGACTGTATGCATGGACAGAGAAGCAGTCAGAGAGGTCACTACAAGGTAGCACTCGAGATGGAAAACGTGGACACATCTGTAGTGAGAGATGTGGCTGTCATGAGTCAACACTGACCTGAAGTGGAGATTTTTGAAGGTAAAGTGTGTCTCAACGATGCCCGTGGTCTTCACTCGGGTCCTCAGGATGTCCTGCTCTGTCGGCTGGTAGTCTGGCGCACCAATCCGATCTAGGCTGTCTAGGTAGCTGCACACACAGACACACAAAGAAAACACAGACTGTAAAATCAGCAGCAATCTACTTCTTGGTTTAATTGGGGATGGCAGGTCCATAAATCTCTGAACTTGTCCTCATGATCAAGTGGTGTGCACAGGGCTGTAGTAAGAAAATTAATCTGCATTTAAAGAATGTGGAAGGTCATTTGCAACCTTTACAAATCCAGAAACACAAGAAAACAAGTGTAAGGAACAGATTTACAGTGTTTATCTAAGATTCAAACTTTAGATTGTCTACCTGTCCAGCTGAATACCTACAATAAAGTGTTACAATGGCAAGAAGCACCTCAGAAGCTGACTACATTACTTTTGGGGGTTACAAGTTATGTAGTTCCATTCATGACTAGCACATCCACAGTGTAGTATTTCCTCACTGCGTGGAAGACTGCTAGATGGTACTAGAGTTTTGGCTAACTTTATGGGTCTGTCCTGCTTGTTTTTGGATTTTGGAAAGTTTAATAATAATTCATGGATCAAAATGGTTGAAACAGGTTAAGAAATCGGTTCTGTACTGGAAACATTTCCTTGTGTGTGTAACATACTTGGCCAAATAAAGGTGATTATCTTTATCCTTATCTGTTTTTTTGAAAATTATACTAACATAACAGGCTTTAGCCTTTATGCCCATGACTGACAATTTATATGAAAAGAACCAAACAGTTCTTATAACTTTTCCAGTTGTTTTAACTGGAAAGGAGTGTACAAATATTCAATGAAAGGTTTTCATGGTCTCACATCAAGAATGAGCTTTAGCTCCCTACTTCCTACATATTAAATGAGAAAAGGCTGTCAGCCCCAGTTGGGTGTCTAAAATCATTGGTGGAAAGTACATTTACTCATGTACAGTAGTGTACTTTAGTAAAATTTTGACATATCTGTATTTTACAGTACTTTACAGTATTTTCATTTTCTGCTACTTCATACTTTAACTTCACGAGATTTTAGAAGCAAATATTGTACATTTTCCTCTACTACATTTATTTGATAATTTTAGTTACTAGATAGCTTTCAGAATCAGATTAACTATACTAAATGCAATATAGTTATCTGACTTTACTGATGCCTGGTGGGAAATTCCCAAAATACCCAGCAATACGTCAATATAGCATAAGCAAAGTACATAAGCATATAAGGTAAGGTGGGCTCCACCTTTACCAGCCACAGAAGTAAATGTGACACAATAATGTGTCAATAATTAAAGTGAAATGTGCTATTCTGCATAATGAGTACTTAAACCTTTGGTACTTTAAGTATTTTTTTGATACCAATACAGTTGTACTTCTTTTTCAGTAACATTTTGAATGCTGGTCTTATAACAGAGTATTTTTATACACTGTAGTATTGTTGCTTTTACTAAGTAAAGAGTTGAAATACTCCTTCGACCACTGTCTAAAATAAACAGTTACTATGCTGTGTAGCCACTTGGTGAGAAGTGATAAAGGAAAGTGCATAAATGAGATGGCTACGTTCACTCATGTAATGGAATATCCCTGGAACTGAACCTTTATTTTTTAATGTAAAAGTATAAATCAAATCATCCTGAACAGCACAGATTCGTTTCACCACGTTTGGAGGTCAGCTCCCTGGCTGAAGGATGATCCCTCCGCCTGGTGTATTAATCCATCTAACCACCAAGCAGAGAGACTGTGAAGAACGAGCTGTCAACTTGATTATTCACATTTTATTCATACCATGACCATCAGAATGTTTTATTCTGATTGCTTATGTTCTTTTACCACCTTGCATTTTGTCTATGCTAACTTCCTGTTCGGTACTACTCACCTTGGAGGGTATTACCCCATATATATTCCCTACTGATCAAGTGTACAGTGAGAGCTCAACATCCCATGCAAACAACCTCTCCATACAATTACTCAGACGTTGGTATTCTAAGTTAGCAGAGATGGGCTGACAGAGAGGCAGGCTGTACGACAGAAGAGCAGGAGAGATGAGCAGACAATATACCCACATCATGCATCCATCTAGTGTAATGGACACAAACTTTTTATTTATAGATCGGTGAGAGTGTTGTTTCAGAGCTTTTAAATTGATGCTGAGCTACTTCTAAGAGAATGAGAGAAAAGGCTACAGGACAGGGAGGGAGGAGATATTGGGCTGATGGTAAAAAGAAGTGGCTGGCACACATGCTGCACACTCAAACTGCTTCAGTGATAAGAACTATTGATCGCACAGAAGGGAATATGGGTTAGAGCTTTCGGTTTAAAGAGGAAGTAGACGGGAAGCGCTGAGAGGGAGAAGATGAAGAATGTGACAGGAGGGAATCAGGGCGTTTATCTAGGGCTACAATAAGGCAAAGTTTGCTTTAAGTGGAAAATAAATACAAAAATGTGACAGGTCCTAAACACCACACTGTAGAAAGCATCATCTGGCAGACTGTGAGATACTCTGAATTTAATAAATGTATCACTAGAAAATGATCTACTGTTAAAACCTATTTCAATTACATGACAGTAATCCTATGATAAATAAATAAATGGCAAGTTTACAAAAACTGGCCACTGGACTGGATTTGTGACTGTCAAACTGTAGGAAATAAGCTTCATTCTACCTTCATCATCTACTCTGTAAGATATGTCAATAAGAACACGCAATACATCATCTGTGTACAGCCTGTCCTCAAGTTTGTTTACATCTGAAAGTCTCTCTTCACTAATGTCTCCTTGTGCTTCTTTGTCCCTGTTCTGTAAAGAAATTATGAACATGTGAAAAGAAGTAGCAGACATTAGAGAGAGGTCAGTCAAAGGTGCTATTATTGCTGGAGCTTAATAGATGTGACTTTCATAACCTTTACCGCCACAGGAGGTTGAACCCTCTCTGCACAGAGGCTGATGCTCCTCCTGTCCACTGTATTCACCCTGCAGTCACTGTTCTGAGAGATATTTTTCATATGAACTTATACTAACACAAATACATTACTTCATGTATAGAACTTCTGAACCTCCAAATCTTTACAGTATGAACATACATGTTGCAACGCAAATGACATAAAAGCATGCCTGGGCCAGGGGGTGACTGCTGTATGCTCATGTAGCCTGGTTTTCAGAGGGCACAGAGTATGTAGATCACCACTGCATTAGCTGTTTACCTCACACTGGTATTACTCTACTGGTGTACTAAGTCGATTAAAACCAGACCCAGTGTGTCATCTCATTTCCCTGGTTGATTATCATTAAAAGAGTTTTGGGCACATAAAAACATCATCTGCGGAGAATGTTGTCTGGGTGGAGACAATGACGAGGGTCAGTGCATTTGTGTGCGTGTGTGTTTCCAGCACAGAAAGCTACAGTGTTCTACCGACAAACTGCTATACGTATTCAACATGACCTTCTCAACACACACACACACACCCGCACACATAATGTACACACCACCCTTCCCTCTGTCACACACTCTTCTATCTTCAGTTGCCTGCAGCATTGTTGCATGTAATGTGTTAAAAGCAGTCAACATGCTGACCAGTAATTAACATCAACAAAGACGGTAGTGTAGATAAAACTGTGGCTTGACGCTAAAGAGGAACAAAAGTCTGGACACATTCTGTGGGGAGATGAGACAATACAAGAGCATGTACAGAGAGAGATGCAGGTAAGTAAAGTATGCAGGCCAGTGTGCGCCAACTTACATTCATACTGATTCATACTTGCTGTAATAACTCAAGCACACCCTACATTAAGTGGAACACTGGCATGTTCACTACACACAAAGCTCATCAAACACATATTTAATACAGTAGCATATCATGGAAGCCAATATTAAGGGCTCCATAAAAAACATGCATATATTCGTATCAAAATTTTGACAAAACACTAATGATGCACTGACAGCAATCGTCTTGGCTGATTTCGATTTTGGCTGATTCCACTTTTCTCTCTTTCTTACTGGAAGAGATTTTGGAAGAGTTTCCTACGCATGTCCCACGCTGCATAAATTTTCCATTTTTCTCTCACTCAAACAAATCTCAAAATAAAAAGTGCTCCAATTTTCAGGACAAACCTTTTTTATTAATAAGCCTTGAACTAAAAATGAAGTATAATATTTGCACTTGTATAAATGTAAACTAGTGCAACAGGTAATAGTCCCTCATTGTGAACTATTTGTCAGAGTTTTGGACAATAGTTTTTCTTTCTCCAAGCCGTTTCTGTAGGCTCCTCTGTGGGCTCATTTTGTGTACCAACAGCTTCCAGTGTTTTCCAGTGAACACACACCCACTATAGACATGAGCCTTGAATGAGGTGCATGTGAGATGCTATGCACCAGAGACATTACACTTTTGGTCTGTGCCACTGTGTGCGCGATGTGAACTGTCGTGCATGTACATTTGATCAGCACAGAATTGGATATCTCAGGCTGATTGACAGGCCACCAGTTAAGGCCGATCAAGCTAAAAATCTGCCAATTCCAATCTCCATCTGTACCAGTGCACTTGTACAAAATACTATATTTACTGGTGGCGGTGATATTTGTTAAAAATATACAGTGTACTGAGAACGTAGTGCCTCAGCAAGTACATCCAAAATATGATGTTAACAACAGCTAAATATATTTCAGTTATATCAATGGAATCCATGTGTTTAAAGCAGAATTTGTATACTTTAAAAACACAGTAAGACACATCTATATGTGGCATATAGGTTTTTCACAGGATTGGCCCAGAGAAGGCTAGCTCCACTGTCCATCTACATGCTAAGTTACCAGCTTTCAGATGTTAAGGCACTTGTCCTACTGTGATGTTCTGACACAGACTTACAACCAGCACTTGTCACTTCTATAGAGGCTGCAACAATATGCTATAATATGACAAAACCAGGCCATATAAATCAGCACCAAACTGATCACGGAAAAGACCATTATATTACTCATCCCAAGAGGACAATAAACCAGGAAATTTCACACTAGCAGTGCACACACAACTGACCACATTATGATATTTTTTATTTTTGTGTTTCATGA